TATCTCCCTACCCATAGCTGGGCTTACTCTGCATCTCCCCCCTTCTCCCTGTTTACTCTGGGAGTTCCACCAGGTCTGTGGTGGAGCCAGGACCCCCCTGGCTGTCCCTGGGCTGTCCCATCCCCTCTCAGCACTCCCGGCAGAGCCGCACTAAATCTATGGCACAACAATCAAAAACACACAAAAAACCCCAACTGAACCCCCCCCTCAGCCTGTCCCGAAGGAAACCGGCACAGAGAGGAATTCCAGCCCTACCTTTGCTGGCCCTGAGGCTGTCCCGGAGTGTCCCCACGGCGGGTCCCTCCCTCGCTGTGCAAAGCAAAAGCGCAAGTGGCGGGGAGCGGCTGCGCCGTGGGGAGCGGGACGGGCACGGCGGGGCCCCGTGGCAGCGCTTTGGGGTCCCTGCCCCGCATCCTGCCTGCAATCACCCGCTTTCCTTCCCTCGCCGTGCTTCTCACGGTGTTTGTTCGGCTGCTGATGGTGTCGGGGTGTTTTGGGAGCGGTGTCGCCCCGGTTGCTGTTCCCGCAGCCAGCGGTGGGGGTAGGACCCCGCAGCTCCTGGGGACAGGGACGCGCTGGCAGGTGCCACCCGTGTGCCACCCGTGTGCCACCCTGTCACCTCTGGGACAGGTGCAGAGCTGAGGGAATGAGAGGATTCGTGGATTACTTTCCCTCCCCAGCTCGCTGGGAAAGGCTCCTTTCCCTCTCACCTGGATGTTCGCTCCCCTGTGCTGCAGTCCCGGTGGTTTGGGGGATTCAGGGTCCCCCCCGAAGCTGATCGTGGGCAGATTTGGGCTCCCCAAAAGCAGCGAGCGCTCCACGGACATTATTATCCCCTTCAGGGGACTTCCGCAGCTCTCATGGAGCTGACCGGGGTGAGAGCCAAGGGCTCTTCTTTTCCAAAAGTGCCACAAAGCGGTGTCACCTACGGCCACGTTCCTGGGCCATCGTGGTCCCCGGCCATCGGCAGAGGGCAGAGCTGGCTGCGCTTGGAGTTTGAAAAGCAGCACTTCCCTTCTTATCCAGAGGAGGACTCCAGCTCCAGGAACATCAACAAGAATTCTTGTTAAGGGAGCCATGGTTCAGTTGGTTAATTTGAAAAAGTCGCTTTTCTAACCATTTCCAGAGAAGTTCTGCAGAGATTTGCAGCTTTTCAATTTGCATTTATTCATTTTTCTTACACATCTTCCCAGGAGAACAGCATACATATATATATATATATATATCTATATCTTATATTACACCTGCTCCCTTAAGGCATCATTGATTTACTCCTATCACAATTCCAGCTTAGGGTTTGTAGCTCTCTCCACACCTTTTTATGGTGGTTTATTAATGGTTATTAATGGCCCTTACAGCCTCGAAGAGCACAGGGTTTGTCACCCTGTGCTGGCCAGCCCCTCTCTAAGGCTCTGTGGATCACATCTCCCAAAAATGCTGCTGTGTGCCTGCTCCAGCAGCTGCTCCTGCTGGTCAAAGCTTCCAGCTTTATTCTGGAGCTGTTGGTGACTTGATGGGCTTTGATTGAAGTGGGAGCCAGAGCTTTCAGCAGTGTGGGATCTTCTCTGCAGAGTTGTCCCTGTGGGGCAAGGCTGGGTTTTGGACTGATGTTTTTGGGCTGGCAGCAGTGGGGGTTTAGTGCTAAAAGGAGGTTCCTTGGTGCTGTGGTCTCACTGAACTCTCAGTGGCTGATGCTGCCTCAGCTCATGTCAGTGCTGGGCTGTTTCCCTAATTTCAGCAGGATCTGGGATGTGAAACTTTCCCAGCACCTCCCACCAGTTACCTCTGCCGTGCTCTCATTTATTTCCTCTCCCCAAAACTGTGTGATGTGACACGCAGGGGTCCCCAGGCTCTGCCCCTGCTCCACCAGCGCTTCCCTGTGTGACCCTGGCACCTCCCTGTCCCCCACGAGGGTTGAGGGGGGTGGTTTGGAGGTGATTTTAATAGACAATAAAACTAAGGCCAGTCCCAGGAATCACCAACCCCTGGGTTTGGGGGTGGGCTCCTCTGCTTTCCCCATTCCAGCACGTGATGGATTCTCTGTTTCACTTCCATTTCCACAGCAGCCAGCCTGGTATGGGAGGGCAGAGCCTGAGCTCGGGGCAGGGAGTGGATGTAGGGTACTGAGGGAGGTTTTGTTTGAAAACCATCCTGCAGAGCAGCCCCAAATCCTGTTTTGCTGATGTCATGCTCTGTGCATTGCCACCAGCATCCATCCCATTTCCCATCACTCCAGGAGCATTCCTGGGGTGTGGGGTGGGAATTGAAGGTGCCTTTACCAGCAGCCAAGTGCCAGTCTCAGAGTTCTGCTGTCCCCAGGGAAAATCCTTTCTGGACCCTCCAATCCTGCTGTAGTTGAGGCCAACAAAAATCAGGAGGTCTTGGAGCTGGCCATCAAATTTCAAATAAAATTGTATTATTTTACAGCATAAAGTAAAATTTTAAAATTGTGTTTTTCTCTTGTATTGATTATATATATTTTTTTTCTTTACTTAACATTTGTATCTTGGAAGGATTGGAAGTTCTCAGTTTATCTAAGCTTGTGCTTCATGACCTTGTAGGGTCTCCTCAGAGAGAACCAGCTGAGGTCTTTCTGATCAGCACTGCCTGTCTTTAATAGAAACAATCCCTGGGAAGAGGTTTTCTGTCTGCTCTCCACCGGGCTGGGGCTGTCCCAGGGGAAAGGAACGTGTCTGAAAGGGGGAGCAGGCGCAGGTCCATGGATGCAGGGCTCGTGTGGAGCCAGGGATGCAGCTGTGCTGCTGACACCAAGCTGGGGGCTAAAAACTGCTGGATTTCCCTCCCCTGTGTGCCTGGAGCAGGGAATTCTCTTCAAAAATCAAAAAAAACCCTGCAAACTAGCGGGGCTGGGCGATGGCGTGGCAGCGTCTGCCGGGAAGGATGTGCTGGCTGTGCAGGGATGAGGCTTTGGCTGTTCCTTGGAATGCTGAGCACCCTCCCAGTGCTGAACGCTGCCATGGCATCCACACAGAATCCCCAAATCCTCTCCCCTGTGCCCTGAACAGGACCCTGGGGCATGGGAGGGGTGATGGACACACCTGGGGCTGTCACACGGTGCCGTCCCACCACACCCCTTGGGCTTTGCAGGGTGTTGCTGGCTGAGCACATGAATCAGAAAATTGGACTGGGGTCTGATGAAATCATGGCTGTCTGGAAAACTGCTCCCTGGCTTGGAAAACTGCTCCCTGGCTTGGAAAACAGCTCCCTGGCTCGGCTGGGTTTGAAGCAGCAAAATTTGCTTTCAGTGTGTTGGATTTGTGCTGGGGATTGGAGCTGTTGGTGTTTGTTCCTTTGCCAGGGACAGCGCTTCCCCTCTCCAGCACGAAGTGGGTGGGTGGAGAAGCTGCCCCTTGCCAGCAGTGGTGCCAAAAATCAGGAGAGGCTCGATTGTGAGGGCTCCACAGAGGTTTTCCAGAGGCAAAGTCACTTTGGGGCTGGACTGGGAGCATGTGGTCATGGAGGGAGGATAAAGGTATTTTTATCAAGGAGAAAAGCAGCTCCCCTCCCTCCCTGTGGGGCCCTAAAAGGTGTCGTGCAAGGGACAGCTTGGATACTCCCAAGGAGTGCATAATTTCAGGGATATGTAAGTGTAGGTTTAGATGGGATCTTGGGAAAAAATTCTTGCCTGTGAGGGTGGGCAGGCCCTGGCACATGTTGCTCAGAGCAGCTGTGGCTGCCCCTGGATCCCTGGAAGTGCCCAAGGCCAGGTTGGAAGGGGCTTGGAGCAAACTGGGCTAGTGGAAGGTGTCCGTGCCCATGGCAGGGGGTGGGATGAGCTTTAAGGTCCCTCCCAACACAAACCATTCCATGATGATCCTAGGACAGATCAAACAGGAGGCTGGCAGGCATTGGAAGAGCGGGAAGCAGCAGTTTGTACTGGAAAAAGATGTTTCTTCAGAGACTGATTTACAGAAAACCCAGCAAAATCCTTGCTAGCCAGGGTGTCCAACCCAGCAAGGGATTTTTCAGCTTTATTTCCCCTGCCTGATGCAGGCACAGCCTGAGGGAGGGTTGGCTGCTGAGTCTCCATGTGACATTATTGAGAGCTTTACGTTTGCTCTTTCCTGTTCTTTCTTTGGAAGGGGCAAGCTGTGTTGCAGAAATGTCAAGAAAACAAGCTGAAAACAAAGTGGCAAAGTCCTGGTGGGAACTGGAGCTCCTGGGAAACCTGGAGCTGGTGCTGCCGGTGGAGTAAAATTGGAGCCACAATCCAGGGTTTGCTGTTGCTCAGGGGGGCTTATAAATGACCTGTCTGTGGTCATTCAGGGCCACCTGGAGGTCCAGCCCAGCTCCTCGGGGTTGTGCCATTCCCAAAAAGGAAAAGGCACAGTCCTGGTGAAGATCCTGCTGGTGTGGTTTTACCTGTCTGTGGAAGCTGCCCAGAGCCAGTCCCGGCATTGGTGAGGTTTCCTTGGGTTTCCTGTTTTGCCTCCACACTCTGCTGGGTTTGGGCCATCTGAAACAGCATTTTTCCAGCACTGAAAGCTCTTTTTTTTCCCCCCCAAGCAAACAAGGAAAACATGGCCTTTTGTTATTTATAATTTTTGTGAGAGGAGGAGGAGATTTGGGACAGAATGAGCCCCAGGGCAGCAGCTTTTCTGCCTGCTCCTGGGATTTTCTGCCTGTCTCTGGCACACTTTAAGTACCAAAGCCAATTCCTCCAGTTTGTCTGGATCTCCTGTCTGGTCTCCCCCATCCAGCCTCAGTACCCATTCCGTGCTTCCCAGAAACACTGCACGGGGTGGAAATGTGCATCCAATCATGGCAAAAGCTGTTTTCTATCAATCCCTCTCTGCCTAGGTTTACTTAAAAAATTCCCTGAGGGATTTCTGGGAGAAGGAGACCTCAGAATGGCCACTCTTTGAGGCTTCTCTGAGCCCCAGACCGGGGTGCCCTCCCCAAAATGTGTCACTGCTCTGAGAGCAGATGTGGGCCATAATGAGAATATTTCCAAGCATTTAAAATAATACTTCTGAAGCTCAAACACACACTGGGATCATTTTATTTCCTCAGAGTTTGAAGCTTTCAGGGTGTACTTGAGTCAGTTTCGTAAATTCTCTCAGTACCCGGTGAGGGTTGGGATGGCTTGTGGTGTCCAAAGCAAAACTGAAGGATTGGATGAGATCTTCAAGTGCAACCACACGTGTCAGGAACATGACAAATAACACAAGACTCCCAATGACAACACAAGAGACACCAAAGACAAGTCCATGTTTCTGCAGCTCACACCAGAGCTCTGTGAGTTAATGTGCCCTGGGAGGTGTCACATCTCCCTCTTTGCTTGTGGCATATCTGTCATAATTTGTCTTCCAAATATTGATCCCCCAAAATCAGCCAAGTGCCTGTGGCTCCCAGGAGCCAGGTGGATCCTTCTGCTCAGCTCTGGGGGCCTTTTCCAGCAGAGTGAGCTGAGCCCAGTTTGATTGAACCCTCCTTTATAACACTGATGTGATACTGGTTAATACTCTTTGCTTGGTTATAGCCTTGCAGTCCAGGTTAGGCTGGATTGGACCCGAGTGATGGATTTTTGTAGTGGAAAAAGGTTCAGTTTATGTGGAGATAATGAACGGATCCTGACCCAGAGCCCTCTGTGAGCTTGGTGGATGCTCCAGGTGATGGTGGCTGTAGCTGCCCAGGATCAGGGCTGAAATCCCCAGAGCTGTGCCAAGGCTGAGCCTCTCACTCACAGCTCGGGGTTCAGAAGGATCCCCCAAAACAACAAACATGCAGAAGCACTGAAACACCCGAAACGAGGCACCTGAACACCCGGTTCAGCACAGGGGAAACCTCGGCATCGACAACGGCTTTCGAGGGGACGGAAAACGAGAGTCCCCAGCAGCAACAACACAACCAGCAAACCTTCCGGCACCACAACGTCCTGATGGGTCAGGTCCTGGCATCTGCAGCACACAAGGACAATTCCAGAGGGATTTGGAGAGTTGAGCAGGCCTTCCTCACTGCAGCTCTGAGAATCCCCTGCACAGACAGGACTCGCTGGCGCTCACGAGATGGACTCCAGGAGCAGCTCGTCGGGCGGCACGGGGGGGATGTCCATGCTGTTTATTTGGCCGAAGAACTTGGGAAGAGACCAGAACTTGAGGCGAGGGAGATTCCTCTTCCTGACACGGATGTCGTGGGCGCTGTCGGTGCCGGAGGCGCTGCTCCGGCGGGGCGGGAGCCGAGCCCTCAGGGCCACGCAGCCGTGGCGCAGCAGCTGCGCCTGGAACTCGGAGGTCATGAAGTAGTAGAGGACGGGGTCCAGGCAGCAGTTGAGGCTGGCCAGGCACAGGGAGATGGGGTGGAAGCGCAGCGTGCTCCGGTGCACGGCGCAGTCCCGGATGACGTTCTCGATCACCATCATGAAGAAGGGGAAGTTGATGTGGTAGGGGGTGAAGCAGATGAAGAAGACGGCGGCGCACATGAGGACCATCCTCAGGGCCTTGCGCTTCTCGCCGGCGTCCTGCAGCGCCGTGGGGCCCTCCCGCAGGGAATGCCACATCCTCCACGTGCACCAGGCGATGGTGCCAAAGGGGATGACGAAGCCGAACAGCTCCGCCACCGTCACCAGCGCGATGGCGGCCCCCGGGCTGAGCTGCTTCACGCCCAGGTCCGAGAAGCAGCTGTTGATGGAGTTGGACAGGGCTGGGCTCCTGATGATGATGAGGGGCAGGCAGGCGGCCCCCACCAAGAGCCAGACCAGGGCGCTGATGGCCACGTCGTAGCGGCGCTTCCAGCCCTTGGCTCGGAAGGGGTGCAGCAGGAACAGGTACCGCTGGATGCTGATGCAGCTGAGGAAGCAGATGCTGGCGTACATGTTGAGGTACTTCAGGTAGAAGCACACCTGGCACAGGAAGCTCCCGAAGGGCCAGCTGTGGTTGATGTAGTAGTAAGTCCGCAGGGGCAGGGACAGGACGTGGGCCAGGTCGGCCACGGCCAGGTTGATCATGAAGATGACGGCTTTGCTCTTCCTGCTGAGGAAGCGGCACAGGACCCACAGGGCAGCGCTGTTGGCCAGCAGCCCCGGGATGAAGATGAGGGTGTAGGTGGTGGCGTAGAGGGTGGACTGGAAGGACATCTGGGGGTAGGAACAGTTCCCGGAGGACACGTTGCTCTCCATCCTGGCCGGGTCTCTTCACTCATGGGGCAGTCACGGCAGGGGGAGAGGTTCTGGAGTGAGTAAAAAGATGCTGTAAAGCCAAAATCTCTGCATGGAGCAAGCGTGCTTTAGGACAGAAGAGTCAGTTGTGTGTTGGCCTGTGTGCAAGCCAATGTGCGTGGTGGGAAGGGTGACCCCACTCCCAGGGAGTGATTCCAGGCATCCTCCACCCTCCCCTTGCAGAGGGGTTCTGTGGGATCTCGTGAGATTCCCCAATTACAGTGATTACCCTGAGCTCTGTAACATCCATCTCTTGATTGCCAGAGAGCTTCTGCAGCTTCCTGGGTTTTCCAGGACCACTTTTATTTCATCTAGTTTTCCATTACACTCTGTCAAATTGGTGCTCTACATCTACAAGCAATTGCAGCTGGACTGTAAATAAATAGGGATTTGAAATAGATTTAGGCATTGTCTTTGCAGATCCGTGCAGGGATCTGATGTGAATCGGCAGCAAATGCAATAATTAACATCCCCAGGCAGCTGAGGCCAGGGGAGAGCTGCAGACAGATCCATCAGCTCTGGCTCCAGAGTTAAGGCTGGATTTATAAGTTAATAACTGGCCAAACACACGCCAGTTGCTCTGCTGGTCCTGCTAACTCAATTCCAGCACTCCTGGCACATTGTGCAGGCATCGTGCTGGAGCAGCAGGAATTATCCCCCAGCAGCAGGAATTACCTTTCAGCAACTGCTCAGGACATGCAGGGAGATAAATACAACTCCCTTCTAGTTGAAGTATGAATTCTTCTCCTCCATTTACGCATCCCAGCTCACCCAGTGCTCAGGGGATTTATTAGAGGGTCATGGGGAGTTCAGGTGCTCCTGCTGCTCTCTGGAGAGATGATGGATTTTGCCATTCATGAGCAGATCCCATGGGAAAGAATCTGTTCTTTTGGGAAGAGAGGATTTGGCGGCAGCAGGATACAAACCCAGGGGATGCAGCATCGTCAGTAATGAACAGTGGGATTTTCCATTTGGAAATGGAGCCTTCCCTGCCCTTCCCTGCCAGGAGCTGGGGCTAGCAGAGCCCTCAGCATCTCCTGTCACTGTCACCCAGCCCCTGATCAGCAGTAATTAATTAAGAAGCAGCCACAGTGCTGTTTCCCAGAGCCTGGTCCTTGTCACAGGGATGGAATTCCAGGAGAAAATCCATCCCAATGCTTCAAAGTACAGGATGAAGTCTCCTCCATCCTGCTCCCCCTCACCTGGGCAGCTCCTTGGGGGGGTTACCACATTTTCAGGCTCAGGAGGAAGCCATCATTTTAGATATTTTATACTTTTATGCACAACAAATATCTAAAATACAGCCCCAGCCTCACCTCTGATGTGAGCAGGGTCAGTGCTCACACCCTGCTTTCCAAACTGAGCCTTTCCCAATCTGCCTTCTTGCTTTTCCTTGTTTTTCCAGTGGAACTGGGGCTGCTGAGTGAGGGCACCTCTCGACTGCCGACTGTGCCAGAGGTTTGTGATTGCTCCACTGAGTTGGGAAAGGCAGGGGAAAGGGAACATCTGTGCTGAGGGAATACTGGCAAAAAGCTCCTCTGTGCTCCTCACCTGCCCAAAAACCCACGAGGGACTTGTGCACTCAGTCTGTTTAACCCAGGGAAAGGGGTGGCAGGATTTGTCTTCACATCCCTGCAGAAAACAGAGAGGGAAAACTGCCAGGGAGTGCTGGGGAATGCAGCTGTTCCCACCTCCTGTCACAGCTGTCCCGTCACAGAGGTGGCACTTGGTGTGGGCTCATGGAAAGGGTCACAGAGCCCCTGCTGTCCCTGCCACACAGCTCAGCCCAAATCCTACACCTCTTCCTTCCATGGGGAGCCTCCCTGCTGGTTTCCTCCGTGTTTTTGACTTTCCCTGGAGCACAGCAGTGCCTGTTCCTGGCAGGAGGGCTGGGTGACACTCCTGGTACCCCTCACAGCTTCGGCTGGCAGCGCTCTGGAGGGCACTGGCAGGAAAGTACCAGAGATCCCCACCCTGGGCTGGGGTCAGGCCAGGCTTGTTCGCTACAACAATTCCTGGGGAGGTGGAGCTGTACATTTTTTATTGTTTTCCAGTTTTCCTTTTGCCCCATGTCCCTCCAGCTTCCCCCTGCTCTGCTGGTGGTGTTAGGACAGAGATGTTCCTGCAGGCTCTGTCTGAAGTTTTGTTCAGTGCCTTTATAAATCTTCTTTAAAATATTCCTGACATTCTTTGATTATTTTCCCATTTCATCCACGCATTTAAACACGGAGCAGGAGCAAGGAGTGTAGTTGGTTTTTTTTTGGCAAAGCTGAGTGTTAATCAGCTGAAATTCCAGAAGGGAGCCCAATATCAGTGCCCGAGGAGTCAGAGCACCGACTGTGGATGCAGCTCCGCCATTCATTAAACATCAAATAACGCCGCAATTAATTGGAGGCCGTGGCAGCTCTTGGAGCACCCGGGGTTGATTTTTTAAGTGTTCCTGGAGGCGAATGTGACTGTCAGCGCTGGAAACCGCCCGGCTCCTGTGAATCAGCCCGTGCCCCACCCAGCCCCACACCACCGGGGTGTTCCTGCATTTACAGCTCCCGATCCATGGGCAAACTCGCCCTCATCTTTTCCATGGGCTGCTGGGACAGCCCAGGCTGAAGCTGAGCTCCAGGCATGGCTGGGGAGAGCCCTCCGAGCTGGGGCGTGGGAGCAGAGCTGCCTCCCTTCAGCGCTGGGATGCTGGAGGGAAAGGCAGGTTTGGGAAAAAAAAAATTAAAAGAAAAATAATAATAAATCCATTTATGGCTTGAAATGAGGTCTTGGTTGAAGTAGTGGGGTTTACTGGAGGCTGGGGTTGCAAGCAACAATTTTGTTTGTTTAATCAAACAAACAAACAGTAATAGGAAATGTGAAAATAGAGCCGGTGGCTTTTGGCAGCCTCTGTCAGTAAGGACAAAATTGAGATTTTTTGGCTAAAACAGCCTCCCCCCACGTCCTCCTCAACACCACAGCCTGTCCCAGGCACCGGCTCCTCTCACCCACCCTCGGAGACAAACTTGTGGGCACAGCAGAAGCGGCTGAGGATGTTGCACCAGCTCCTGCCCGATACCATCTCTTGAACCACAAAGAAGCGATAAAGTCTCTGAAAGTGCGCCGGTTTCAGCGTCCTGAAGAAAAGAGCAGAAATTCCACTCACCTTCCTGCGCTTCCCATGCTCCGGGGGGGTCATAGCCGTGCTAGGGAGCAGGAGCAGCCGGCGTCCTGCTTTTATCGCCCGCTGGATTTCTCAGCAACCCCAGCGCCTCCTCGTTCAACTTCCACATGTTTTCGGAATCCTGCCGGCATCTGCAGCCCGGTCCGGTGGCTGCAGAGCAGGAAATCCTGTATTTTGTTTCTCTTCTCCGCACCAAAGGAGTGCAGCGATGACGTTAAAGCCGCTGGGAAGGCGATGACGTCCTTTGGTGCCAGTGCCCCGGGATGGAGAGCGCGGATTTCGGTCCCCTCTGGGCGCCGGGGATGTGGGAGGGGATGCTGCCCGTCCCTCCGGCTGCTCCTGCTCCTCTCCGCGGTCACTTTGCCTGGGATGAGCTGTAAAATACAGAAGCAACCTCCCAATAAGTGTTCGCTGGAGGAAAATCGAGCGCTCTGCCAGTGTCAGTTACTGGAAGGGAGTAATTTTCCCTCATTTTCTTGGAAGCTTGGTTAGCCTCAGACTATCAAGGCTGCAGGCTAAAGCTGGAGGGTTTGGACTTTATTCCTGAAATAATGTGATGGTTTAAGGTGGAGATTTTCACAAAGTATTGTTGTTTAAAAATCCCATACCGTGCATCATTCCCAATCTTTTTCTTTAATTCCTTTAATTCCCTTCCTATATCATTGGACATACAGAGAGTTTTCATCTGGTTTTCTGCCTGCTGAGCATGATCTCCTTTCTGCACTGCTGAAGAAGTGGTGTGATTTCATGGTGTGACTTCTTCTGAGCTGCCTCTTTTCCAGCTGAGCAGTTTTACCTGATATCCAGGGTCACCACTAACAGCACAGGGCTTGTACAGATAATTTGGCTGTTGGCAACTCTCCCCTCCTGTAAAACCAGAAATATTCTTACCCTATTTTTTGTAAGAGGTTCTCATAAAATTAATGGGAACAGAACTGTGGAAGAGAAATGAAAGGAGGAAGATCTTATCAACTTTAATTACGAGCTCAGGGGCTGGGATCAGGAGTTCTGCCACTCACTCAGCTGCCAGGTCTCCTTGTGCCAAGAAATCATGGAACCTGAGAGTGATTTGGACTGGGGACCTTAAAGACTCTGATTCCAGCACCCCTGCCATGGGCAGGGACACCTCCCACTATCCCAAGTTGTTCCAAGCCCTGTCCAGCCTTGGACACTTTCAGGAATGTGGCAGCCCCAGCTTCTCTGGGCACCCTAAATCCCCACGGTTCTCATCTGCAGGGATTTGGGAGATGCAAGAGCTCTTTGTCGCTCCCAGTTTTTCCTTCTCTTCCAGCAGCTGGTGCAGATCCTGGGAAGAAGGAGCAGCACTCGTGTGTTTGTGGAGCGTTCAGAGACCACAGAAGGGAGGCTGGCACTGTGCCCTGTCCCTCTCCAGAGGACAGAGGTTAATCCCAGAGTGAAGGGGCTGTTTTATCAGGATATCCTGCCTGGAACATCCTATTTCTGTGTCTGCAGCAGCATATCCAGCCATCCCTGAGCCCTATTTTTAGGTGTTTGTTTCCAGCTGTGCTGCTGGGGAAGGAGATCAGTGGATGTCAGACCCAAGAGAGGGCTTTGTAACCACACTGAGCCCTTCCTCTGCTCCTTGGCTTTTTGGAGAACTTTAGCAGAAGATCCCAACATTCCTGGCCATGAAAAGCTGAGGGATTGACAAACCTCAGGCATCATCCTTCAATGCACACGGATCAACCTCTCCATTCCTCTTTCAACTTGAGCAAGTTTCTGTTCAGCATTTCTGTTTCTCTGGCTCATCCCCAATGCTAACGTGCTTTTCACACTTGGCAACGCTCCACTTTCAAAGGCAGAAGACACAAAGGAACTATTTAATAACTTTTTAAAAAACTGTGAGACTTTATCTAAGGCCTCCAGATAAAGGTCTCTTCTCCTACAGCCTGGTATCCTGTGGGCAGGGGGCCAAATGCAGATGATCAGCATCTCTCAAGCACTCAGCATTGAGAATATCTGACAGGATGCACCTGAAGGATGTATGAAAAGCAGGGGGAGGAGGAGGTTTGTTCACACAAAGCAGCTTCACCCTTGTTCAGGGAGCTGAGCAGGGCTGGGTGAGCCCCCAGCTCATTGTCCCTCTTGCTGTCACACAGAGCTCTGTGCAGCAACAGCATTTTGGGAAGCTCTGATTTATTTTACAGCAAATAATTTTCAATGCCTCCCTTACTTTTTGGGCTAAGCCTTTGTCTAACCCACAAACCCAGCGTTTTTGGTTTAAACACACCAGTCGTCCCCAAAATCTTTTAAGTGCAATGAGGTGGTTTCATATTTTTGAACTGTGGAGTTGTTATCCTGCATTTCCAGCATATTTTGTTTTTCCTCTGGGCAGAGAGCTGGTAATTTCATTTAAGAGAAGCAAGAGATACTGCAAGATTCTGCAGCTCAGAACCTGAAGCTGCAGAAAGGCTTTAAATTGGAGATTTTTCCAAATATGTTTGTTCTCATGGATGGGAGGGCCCTTTCAAGCTGCGGAGGAGTTAGCAGACATCTGCTCCTGGTTAGGATGGGGTAGCACTGCAGAGAAACACCTTTCTTTTTGCTAAAAGGTGAATGGCTCATGTTGTAGAGGAAAAGAAATGTGTTTGCCCAGGGCTGTGCCTCGGGGTCAGGCACGGTGCCAGTGCAGGTGGCTTGGAGACCTCACCACATCTCCATCCTGAGCAGTTCTCTTCAGGGTGAGATGCTCCAGCCCCAGGAGCCCTTCAGATTCATCTTTCACACCCCTGTGGAGCTCCACCAAACCTCTTGATTTGGTTCAATTCTGCCTTTCTGTGGCATGTCTGTTAAAACAGTTTTTTTGTGTCTGCCCAAAAAGGAGGAAAAGTATTTTTTCAACTCATGAGTCTGAGCAGCAGGACAAGCACAAGAGATAATCCAGGAGCAACATCATGAAATTATATTTCCTCTTGTCAAAATAATAAACATGTTTTTTGGTCACAGGAAATAGGGTGAATTACAGGAACCTGAGCCAGCCTTGTTGTGCCTCTGCCTGTGTGAGGCAAAGCAGCCCCTGCAGCCCAGGTCCTGGGTCAGATCCAGCACCAGCCAGCTGGGAAGGCAGCTGGAATACTCTCCTCCTCCTCCTCCTCCTCCTCCTCCTCCTCCTCCTCACTGGAATGCCTGTTTCCTTCTCTGGAGATGCACACTGAGGTTTTGGAAGGCCTGAACTAAAGAGTTTGGATTTCAGGTGTGGGTTTGTGGAGGCCGATTGGATCATCTTGGACTCTCAGAAAACTTCAGGTTTTCCCTGATCTCTCTCTGAGCTCTTGCTCTCTAGGCTGGCCCATCCTGACTGACTTTCCCTGCAGGTTTAACCTCATCTGGCAGCTGAGCCCCACAGAGCTGGTTTATCTCTACCCCAGCCAAGACCAGGGCCCTTTCCCCCACAGCAGAAGAGGCCTTCAGACAGAGTTATCTGATCCCCTGCACACCACAGGATTGAAAGGGTTGAGTGGGTGACTTTTCCTCACAGGCAGGGGCTGCAGTATGGAAAAGGAGCATTTTGGAGAACCTAAAGGAGTTCAGAGGACGAGTGAGGCAGGAAAATGTGAGGAGTTGCTTGAGGATGTCATCATGGAGATGGAGAATGGTATCCCTGATGGAGACACCAAATCCGTGCTAAGGTTTGGGCAAGAGAGCTGCTGTCACTCCTGGACACTCAGCAGCTGGAGCAGGTATTCCCATGCCTTGCCCATCTTCCACTACCTAGGACACCTTCCCATCCTCAAAATACTTCTAAATCTAATAGAAGTGTGGTAGAATCAAAAATTAAATAAATGGCCTCTACTCAGAGTGAAAACAAGCAACCAATCTGTTTAAGAATAATAAAAGTTGCGCTCCTTTGCTTGAACCCTGATCCCAGGAGGGGCTGATCCCAAGCGGTTTTCCAGGTACCAGTGATAACTACAAAACTCAGCTGATGTTTGCAAAACAGCCTTTATTTTTCTTTTTTTGAGCATCAGTTCTTGGGGAAGTAAAACCCGCAGAATGAGCTACAGAGTTCCCGTAAGCGCCCTCAGCTTGTTTTCTCCTGATCAAGGGAGAAGGGTGCGAAAGTGAAGGGACAGGAAACAGCTCCCAGTCACTTGGAGGCTTAGAAAGGTCTGTAAAAATTCACAAAACAAGCACTGAAACTGAAGTCTCCTTCCCTGACAACTTTAAACAGAGTGTAGCTTATGAGAGACTGCTGAACTGACAACAATTGAATTGTGTGAGGTCAGCTCTGCCTTTGGAAGGGGACTCCTTGCAGCGTGTAAACGTTTCTTGTGTCAGTGACATCAGAGAGAACATTTCCATAGACACCAGTGCATCCTACTCAGCCCAAAATCATCTTCTCACACCTGGGAGGAGAACTAGGAGAGCTTATTGTGTTTGTGTCAGTGTCGTTGCCTTTTAGAGGGAAATTGTTGTTTAAATCCCGGTCCTTGGTTTTTCCCTTTGTTTTTTTGTAAAGCAGAGAAGTGGGAAAACACAATATACAGGAAATATTTGGCTGTGTTACATTTTAACTCAGTGGAATTGAGTGGTTGGAGTTAAAATACACATAGCAAGTGTTTCTGGTATTTCATTTGGTTTTGTAGCAACTGTTGCAAGACCTTACAAATTTTTCGCATTCTTTTGAAAATATACTGATTTCCAAAGGCAATAAATTGGTGATTGTTCAGCCAAATCCATCCCCGGGTATCATGAGATACCCTTGAAGTTACAGAGTGGGTGGACTTGGCTGAAGAGCCGTAACTAATTAAAAATGAGGGGTAAATGAATCCTTCCTTGTTGCTGCTTTGCATAGCTAACTAAAAATGTAAACATTAGGATCATGACAGGACCTGGTGGAAAAAAAATCACAATAATTTATGAATTTAACTTCTGGTCTATCAGTAAAATCACCTTGGCAAGGGCTCTTCTCGTTTTTAAAAGGTTCATCAACTGAACAGGTTGAGATGAGCTTTTCTGGGACAGATTCATCTCGGGTACCTCTGGACCACACACAGAAGGGAGTGAGAACCTGAGTGGTACCATCAGCACCATCAAACCCACCTGCACTGACCCCAGGACCACCATGGTCCTGCCCCAAGGGCTCCAAAGGCAAAAGCCACCTGCCCATGTCCCCCTTGCCAGCTTGGAGGGGAGGAAAGTCACCTGGAGCAAGGGAAGGTGCCAACTTC